CAGACATTGATGAGATCATTTTAATCTCATATCCTCTCCCTAGCCAAACCTGCTTGTTTACACATAGCATCATTTGATCCACTTGGTTGAAAGCTTAATGAATGTCAAAGAGTTGAGGAATAGGAGAACTTGGGGAGATTACTGTTGAGTTGATACATCAGAGTATGGTCTTGCATTGCATATTGAGCATGAATTTGAATTCTCTTAGTGGTCACTTCTCTCTTTCAAAGGAAATATGAACTCCCAATGCATTCAACCTCTTTCTGTCATTTGTTCCTTTTGCTTGAGGACAAGCAAAGGACAAGTGTGGGGGAGTTAATATATTCATAAATTGCATCATTTAGTGTACAGATTTAAGTCCAAATCATGTCTCATTTGAATACATTTTAGGTCTTTAGGCATTGTTTTAGGACTTTAGGGATTTCATTAGGTCCAAAAGAGTTTTTCATGGTTTGGAGTGTTAAACAGGTGCTTATGGAGCTTATTTGGAGTGGAGAATGTGATTCAGATGAAGAAATGGAGTTGAAATAATCAAAAATGGTGTAGAGGAGCAATTTTGAGGTTCTGGGCAAAATTCTGTACTGATGGTCGAGGATTCTCGGCCAAAATCCTTCCTGCGGGTAGTTCTCTTGGCAAAAAACACGTACTGGCGGTTAAGTTTCTCGGCCAAAAATCTCGGCTGCAGATACATCTCAGAAATCACGTTATCGGAAGGTCTTTCCGTCCGATTCAGCTCTCAAATTCTTCATGCAAGTTGTATATAATTGAGTCAAGAACCAAGAACAGTTCGAATCCGGGCATTTGGAGCACTGAGCTGAAATATATGGCTAACAGAAGACGAACATGTCTCGCCACCGTTTTAGACCGACCCGATGAGCTCCAAAGATTGCGAGGGACGATGCACTTCCAGACCGATTCAGTTTACAAGACCTTCATAAAGATTGAAGATATTTTAGTCCTATTTCCAGAACGTTTGAGATCATACAATTTGGAGCTATGAGCAATAAGATAACATTTTCGGAATGGACACATGTCTAGAAGCCAATTTGGACCCGTGCAATGCACGTCAAAGATCAACCCTCCAGGAACCCTTCCATCCCTTTGAAGCACTTGAACTCTTCATCAACAATCTAGATAATTGAGCTACCTTGCCACTGGAGTTTGAGTAAAGGCATTTGGACCAGTATTCCAGGAGTTATGATGCATCAAACGCGGAGTGCTCCGAAAAAATGAGAAATGATGCGACTTGGGTGTGCGACTTGATTAACTCGCACCCATGAATCTTCATACTCTGGAAACAATTTGAAACTTTAGAGTTGAGTGTAAGGAGTCTCTGAGCAAGGCAGAGACTTCCAGAATAAAATTTGACTAAGTCCACAATGCTGTGCGAGATAGGCCTGCGAGTTGGACATGAAGTGGAACCATGTAGCACATGTGTTCGCAGATTACACCGACTTGGGCCTGAGACTTGGGACTAAAGGAGGACAAACTCGCACACATATTATCTCCAGAATGCGTCTTGGTTATGCGAGTTGAAGAGAAGAAAGCCTGAACAGCACATACACTCGCAGTTTACACCTAGATAGGCATGCGGCTGGGGCTGAAGGATTTAAGGTGCACAAACCTGTTTCTATAGCTGTGCGACTTGGTCCTACGACTTGGGAAGCACCTGACCATGTCGCACACTTGAGACATGACCCATTTGAAGCCAGGTCAGTACCCAGTTTGTCGTGGGCTGACCCGGTCCGCAAGAGACACTATATATGCGTTTTAGGGTTTTTTTAAAGACTTAAGCTTTGTTTTCTCTTGTTTCTCTTGTCCCTTTTGTTAAAAAACGAGTTTGTTAAGAGATATCTCAAGGATTTAATCAATCTAAGTCTGTTTCTTATCATCTCATCTTCTTATCTTTGCTTCTAATCATGATTAACATCACCTCTTGCAAAGGAAATGGTGTGTTTATCATGATTAGTGAGTAGTCTTCTTTTAAGCTTCTAGGTGTGTAGATTATGGTGTTTAGATGTATACTAATGATTTTTTAAGCTTAGATTCTCTTCTCCTTTCCTTAGTTAGCTGATTCTAATGCTAGATCTCTCATTATAAGCTTGATCTAGAATTTAGGCATTTCTCCACCCACAAGGTGTTTGATGAAATGCCTGAATGAGCTAACTTAAGGGTTTATGCCTTTGTCATCATGGGAATGATTGTTAAATGCATGAATGACATATTAGAACTGTTTCTTAATACTCATTGATTCAGATTTCACAAATGATGATTTGGTTTGAAAATGGATTAGTGTAGAGGTTAGTGCCTTCATGAGAGGATTAATCTAGATTAGAGTTCTAAGTTAATTGGAATTTGAGATCATGTGATGCTTGCTTTATCTTTCTGTATAAGATTCAGTCTTTCTTAGCTCTTATTTTGATGCAAAAAGAGGTTGTCTGGTCATTTTAGACTTGGAACCTTATGCTTGTTGATTGTTTATTCATCTAATGGGAATTAGTCTTGAATTGGTAATTAACAAAGGGATTTTTGTAATGAGAATGAATTTGGAAGTCTAGAATAAAGAATTGCAAGTGTTGCATTTTTTGCTTAGCATTATGAATTCACATTTAAAGCACCCTGATCAATGATCACATCTAGAGGTTTAGTTTTCTCTTTATTTGAATTTGAGTGTTTGTTTAGTTTCTCTTGTTTGCTTGTTCTTAATTACTGCTTGTTCTTGTTTGTTATATATTTAAGATCACCTAATCACCAACCTATTTCTTTAGACTTGGATTAAGGATAGTTCCATATAGTCTTAGTGCCTAGATAATCTCCATTTGGATTGACCCTCAAGTGCTACAACACAAGAGGTTAATTGATCTTAGTAGGCTTAAAAAACCTACTATCAGTATTGCATGCCGGACTCCATATTCCTGAACCCCTCGACTACCAAGCACCTCGGCATTGTATGCCGAGGTCCCTTGTCACGAACCCAGATTCAAGAACAGGTTGACTCGGAGGATGCACGTGAAGATGGATTGAAGACTAGGGTTTATGCATGTTCTTGACGTGTTATTCATGGGATCTTCATCTTGATCTTTGCTCACGTGCACCCCTCGTCATCAAGACCTTGGCTTCACTCTCTCACACACTGTGGTGCTCACCCGACGACCCAAGAAGAGCGTTCAGTACGAGGTTTGTCCGGGGCTGACCCGTGACACTTACCCTTCACTATAAATATAATTTACGACCAGAAACCTAATCATCTTTAATCTTATCTTATTTCCTGCCTATTTTAGCTCTAAGAACTTGCCTCTTTTGTGAAACTTGATTTATCTTATCCGACATCTCGTTTTTACGTAAAAATCTTGTTCTTGTTCATCTCTTTTATTCACCAGCATCAAACTCCTAATCATGACCAGCTACACGTCTTGCAAAGGACTTAGTGAGCTCGTTATGATCAGTGAGTAGTCCATTTAAGAGGCGTTCAAAGGTAGATTAGGGTGTTTCCAAGTTAGATTAGTGAGTTTAGGGGTCTAAGCTTACATGTTTCATTCCTTAGCCAATCTTGTACTCTAAGCTGGATCCAAGCACATCAGTTGCGGTTCAGATCTGAGACTTTCTTTGCATAAAAGGTGTTTGAGGAAATGTCTGAACCAACCGGCTAAGGGTTTAAGAGTCTTTCATCGCGAGAGCGACAGTTTGTTCTCTTAAACAACTTATTGAACTGGATCCTAAAGCTGACTGATTCATGCTTCTCAAAAGGGATTTTGGTATGAAAGAGGATCAGTTTAGATGTTAAATACTTTCATGAGAAGATTACCATATTGTGAGTTCATGTTAAAAGAAAATGTTTGTTAATATGGATTCAGTAACTCGCTAGTTTAGCTTGGAGACACCCGAAATCCTTAATCCTGTCTAAAGCCTCTACCTTTATCATCTATTATCATCATCCGAACATTAGCTCATTAACTAGTTATCATTTGCATCTTCATCTAGTTTAAACACTATCGCTAGTTTCATTTTTAGGCTTATTTGCTTGTTAAGTAGATTAGATACCAAAAACTCTTGCTTGATCATTTTGACTTAAGATTACAAGTAACATAGATTAGTGCCTCTCCACAAGTTTGGTTTGATAACCCCTTGTACTACAAGACAGGGGATTGATAACCTCTACAAATAGTGAAAACTCTTAGTTATCAATTGGCGCCGTTGCCAACTTGTGGGAGCATTTGTCTCTTATTTGTTCTTGAGATCAAGACTTTACTTTATTTTGTTTTACTAACTCTTTTACAAGTTCTGGCTTTGCTTTCAGGTGTATCAAAACCAGATCTCGCAGCACAGAACCGCCTGTCCCTTACGATAACAACATCAACAGAATCGAAAGGAGAGCTCGCGAGAGAGAAAGGCACTTTGAAAGGCTTGGAATGGCAGAACAGCAAAGAATCGAGCAGCATGCTCAAGATGCCGAGCACCAGGCTCAGGCAAATCAAGCGCAGGCCGAGAGGAACGAGCAACAGGCCTACGTTAACCAACAACAGGCTCAAAGAAATGAAAGGTTTGCTCAGCAAAACCAACATCAAGCAAACCGAAATGAGCAGCAAGCCCATCATGTTCCTCCGCCTCCACCACAAGCTCAGAGACAACCTCCTCTGGTCTTTGTTGGAGAAAATGACCGAGCAAACGCGCATCAGTATAAGGCCGGGATTCAGGCACCACCTGTCCAAAACAACAACTTTGATGTTAAAGCTTCCCTGCTCAATATGGTGCAGAACACCAAGTTTCACGGTCTACCCGAAGAAGACCCTCTAGAGCATCGAGATCAATTTGATCGAGTTTGCGACCTGACGAAGATAAACAGCGTGTCAGAAGACAGTTTCCAGCTACGCCTGTTCCCATTCAGCCTCTGTGACAAAGCTCACCAATGGGAAAAGAACCTCCCAAGGGGTTCCATCCAAACGTGGGAACAGTGTAAATTGGCGTTCTTAGCAAAGTCCTTCTCCACTTCACGCACGGCCAAGCTGAGGAACCAAATATCTAGCTTCACACAACACACCAACGAGAGTTTTAGTGAAGCTTGGGAACGGTTCAGGAGCTATACCAACAATTGCCTGCACCACGGCTTCTCGAAGGCCTCCCTCCTAAGTACTCTATACCGAGGTGCCCTCCCCAAGATCAGAAACCAACTAGATACAGCCTCCAACGGAAATTTTCTTGGGAAAGAAATAAATGCGGCAATGGAACTAGTGGAGAACCTTGCAATGTCCAATGACACGTATGGCGAAGACTTTGATAGAGCAAACTGTTCCGAGGGATCTAGTAAAGAACAGCAAATGGAGAAGGATATAAGAGAGCTACAGAGCAAGCTTGACAAGGTCCTCATGGCTACACAGAAGCCAATACACTTTGTAGGCAAGTTTGATGAGCAAGGACCAAGCTTTGATAACGTCAACGAAGATGGTCTAACTCAAGAGGAGATAAACTACATAGGGAATCAACAAAGGTATCAGAGCTTTAACAACTTTGGGAACAATCCAAATCTCTCATACCAAAACCCAAATGTAGCTAATCATCAAGACCAAGTGTACTCTGCTCAACAACACCAATATAGATATGCTCCAAATGCTCCATTTCAGAACAGCTTTCAGCCCAAGCAACAATTCGGTGGGCAACAACAAAGGTACAGTCAGCAGAATCAACCGGCACAGAGCAACAACTTCAGCAGCCAACAGCAGCAGCACAAGTTTCCACCAGAGCTCAATCCGCAGCCGATGGGGAATCCGCAACAAAATCAGGGAACGGCTCAGAATCAGATGGGTCCTGACTTCTGTGGGCTTCTACAGCAGCTTTTACAAGGTCAGCAACGAGTTGAGAGCCAGCACGCAACAATGCAACAAGATATCCAGGAGCTTAAGCAGAATCAAGCTTCTACAACTTCAAGAGGTCCGGCTTTACCAGGTAAACCGGAGCCTAACCCCAAGGAGTATGTGAACGCCATCACATTGAGGAGTGGAAAAGAATTACAAGCTCCAGCACCTAAGACAAAGCTCATTGAGGAAAATGAGCAAATTGGTGGGGACGCAGCCTCAGATGATGCGCAAGAAGAAGAGATTTTGGAGAAAGAACCGATCAAAGACAAAGGTAAAGAGGTGGAGAAAACACCTGAGCTTGAAAAGCCATACGTTCCACCACCACCCTATCAGCCCAAGATACCATTTCCAGGGCGTTTCAAGAAGCAAATCCTAGAGAAAGCTTAGTGGTCTTTAAGAAGCATTTGGAGGATACACAAATAACCTTACCTATCATAGATGCTTTCTTAGCTATACCTCAGCTCGGAAAGTTTCTTAAAGATGCTATTCTCAACAAGACAAAGGAGCTCCAGGGTATGGTGATATTGAGTCACGAATGCAGCGCCATCATTCAAAGGAGGTCTATACCAAGAAAGCTATCCGATCCGGGCAGCTTTACTTTACCGTGTGCAATAGGTCACTTGAAGTTCTCAAATTGCTTGTTTGATCTAGGAACTTCTGTGAGCTTAATGCCCTACACGGTGGCCAAGAGATTGGGGTTTAAAAGCTATAAGCCGGCCAAGATCTCCCTTGTATTAGCTGATAGATCGGTAAAATTACTGGTGGGTTTGCTTGAAGACCTGCCTTTGAAAATTCGTGAAATAGAGATCCCCACTTATTTTATAGTTCTTGAGATGGATAAGGAGCCTGTTGATCCCATCATCTTAGGAAGATCGTTCTTAGCTACAGCAGGAGCGATCATCGACGTGAGATGAGGCATGATCGAGCTGCACATCGGTTCCGAGACTATGAAATTTGACGAGAAGGAAATGTGAAGAAACCGACCATTGGAGGTCAGGTTTTCTATGTGGAAACCATGGAGGAGTGATATACTCATATTTTTTCATGTTTAGGATTGCATTTTTGTCCAAATATTGAGTCTCATGCATACATTTAGGTAGTTTTACATATATATGTCTTTGCTTTTGTCTTTAGTTAGGAATTCCATTAGGTCCTAGAGTGTCCTGCATTTTTGGAGTGTTCTCAGGTCATTTGGAGACTTTTGGGAGCAACTTGGAGCTGGGATCATGGAGGAACCCTCACCTGTGTACAGCAACTCGGACAGATGGTTTGGTGCAGACAAAACCCTCTATTTGATCGCGTGGGACGAAGGACTTGCAATGAGATTCAACCTCCGGTGTCTGCATAAAGAATCAAAAAGAATGAGTCTAGTTTCTGGAACACTTAGAATCAGACGATTTGGAGCCGTTAACTGGGAGATATTGCCATCGGAAGGAACACATGTCTCGCGGCCCGATCAGGTCTTATGCGATGCGCCTCAAAGAACCGGTGTAACGGAGCCCTTGCAGACGTCACCCGAACCCAAACCCTTCCCCAAAGTTCGAGATATTTGAGTTTTCTTTCCAATTCAGTTAAAATCATGCCATTTCGAGCCATATCCTTGAAGTTACTCTCCCCTCAATGCAAAGTGGTCTGAGAAGGCTTAGGTTGTGCGATACGGTACTGCGACTTGATTAACTCGCACCCATGAATGTTCAACGCTCTGGAAACAAGTTGAGAGTTTAGAGATGAGTGTAAGAAGACTCTGAGCAAGGTAGAGACTTCCAGAATCAAATTTGAGTAAGTCCACAATGCTGTGCGAGATAGACCTGCGAGTTGGACATGAAGTGGAACCATGTAGCACATGTGTTCGCAAATTACACCGACTTGGGCATGCGACTTGGGCAAGGAAGTGACCGTCTTTCACACATATTATCTCCATAATGCGTCTTGGTAGTGCGAGTTGAAGAGAAGGAAGCCTGAGCAGCACAAACATTCGCTGTTTACACCTAGATAGGCATGCAGCTGAGGCTGAGGGATTTATGGCGCACAAGGCTGCTTCTATAGCTGTGCGACTTGGGCCTGCGACTTGGGAAGCACCTGACCATGTCGCACCAGCCACCAGACCCAACTGAGCCGGGTCAGTACCCAGTTTGTCCTGGGCTGATCCGGTCCATTAGCACTTAGTATATATAGCTTTTTGGAGAAAATCCTAAAAATCTTATAATCTACTTAGTTTTCTCTCTAGTTTTTTTTTCCTTTTTAGTGTAAAACGTTTTTGATTAAGAGATATCTGAAGGGATTTGATCATTCCAAGTCTGTTTCTTATCATCTCATCATCTCATTTCTGCTTCTAATCATGATTAACATCATCTCTTGCAAAAGATTAGATGTGTTCTTCATGATAGTGAGTAGTCATTTTTTAAGCTTCTAGGTGTGTAGATTAGGGTGCTTAGATGTTTGATTTATGATGTTTAGGGACTAGATTCTCATTTCATTTCCTTAGTTAGCTGTTCCTAATGCTAGATCTTTGCACATCACTCTGGTCTAGAGCTTAGGCAAATCTCCACTCACAAGGTGTTTGATGAAATGCCTGAATGAAAGCTAACTAAGGGTTTATGCATTAATGCCATGGGAATGTTTGTTAATTGCATAAATGACATATTAGAACTGTTTCTTAATGCTCATTACTTCATATTTCACAAATGGGAATTTGGTTTGAAAGTGGATTAGTGTAGAGATTAATGCCTTCATGAGAGGATTAGTCTAGATTAGAGTTCTAAGTTGAAATGTTTGAGATCATGTGATTACTTGCTATGTCTTTTTGTGTAAGATTCAGTCTTCTTGGTTGAGACATTGTTTGGTCACTTATTAGGCTTGATGCATTATGCTTGTTGATTGCTTGATTATATCTAATGGTTGTTAGACTTGATTAAGTGATTAGCAAAGGGATTATTGTCATGGGAATGAATTAATCTGCTTTTGAAGTCTAGACTAAAGAGTAACTTGCATTGCATTATTGTTCTTAGCATCATGAATTGATATCTACAGCACCCTAATCAATGATCACATCTAGAGGTTTATCTTTTATCATTTGCTTTATCACCACATTCTTGTTTAGTTTGCTTGCTTTGTTTAGTTCATTCATCATTGCTTGTTTGTTCCTTGTTTATATTTTCACTTGTTACTTGTCACCAAATCTTTCTTGTTTCACTTGACTTAAGAACTTGTCACATAAAACACACATTTGGATTGACACCCCTTATACTACTTTGATAAGGGGATTGATAACCCATCTAAGACCTGAAAAATCTTAGTTATCAATTGGCGCCGTTGCCATGTTGTGTGGACATTGTTAGCATTAGTTTCTGATATAGTTTTTGAGATCAAGTTTCTTTTGTTTTACTGATCACCTTTCAAGCTCTATCTTTGTTTTCAGGTTTATGATCACAAGAAGCCAAGCCAGAAGACAAAGAGAAAGAGCTGTTCACTTGGAGAGGTTAGGAATGGATCAGCAAGTTGGGAATGAGCAATCAGGCTCAAGAAGCTGATCACGGTCAAAGAGCTGGTAATGGGATTGGAATTCAGGTTCAACAAGCTCCGGTCCGTCAGGGACAAGCTCAGGGTAACCAGCACCAAGACCGACCTCAGGTTAATCCACCACAGCCCCAACCAAACCCACCCATACGTCATCAGTCTCCACCAGTCTTTGTTGGTGAGAATGACCGAGCTTATGCACACCAGTATGGAGCAGGAATCAGGCCACCTCCTGTCCAAAACAACAACTTTGAGGTGAAGGCCTCTTTGATCAATATGGTTCAGAATCAGAAGTTCTATGGCTTACCTATGGAGGATCCCTTGGAGCATCTAGATCAGTTTGACAGAGTTTGTGATCTCACTAAGATCAATGGGGTATCTGAAGACAGCTTCAAACTGAGATTGTTCCCATTCAGCCTTGGAGATAAGGCACATCATTGGGAAAAGAACCTCCCAAGAGGATCCATCCACACATGGGAGAAATGCAAGATTGCCTTTCTATCCAAGTTCTTCTCAAGCTCAAGGACTGCAAAGCTAAGGAACCAGATTCCAGCTTCACTCAACATTCTAATGAGACCTTTGGAGAAGCTTTGGACAGGTTTAGAAGCTAACAAATAAGCATCCACATCATGGCTTTTCAGAAGCCTCTCTCCTTAGCACTTTGTATAGAGGAGCTGTTCCTAAGATCATGATTCAGTTGGACACAGCATCAAATGGAAATTTCTTGGCAAAAGAAATC